AAGTCATTTACTTTACAACATCAATTGGCTACAAGTTGCCTTAAATTTTTGCATGTGATCCTCTATCAAGAGGAACTGTAGTGGCCAATAAGATTTTTAACTCTGAATTTTTTTACTTCTGAATATTTTGACTGTTATGCGCATTATTTTTTCGCTCGGCTTTCTCCTTTATATTCGCTTAATAAGAGAGAGAGAGAGGGGGTATTCTAATTAAATTCATCCTTGTCTAACACAAATTAATAGAAATGCTGTCAAGATTTTAATGGTTTGCCGATATCCCTTTTCAATCACAGTTTTAAACCTATATATCATGATTATGAGGAAATATCGCGTGTGATTTTCGCCCAAAAGCCGTGACGTCTGCAGCGCATCTCTGAGGCGCGTTTATTATTTATTCTTCACTCGTGGAATGATTGTGTTAGTGCAGAAAATTTCTTTCTCACCAGATGACAACTGAAAACTTTGAAAATATTTTATGAATCAACATCATCGTTATGAACATCACTTCCGGCCAGTCTTATATTACTTCAAGGAACCTAATTTGCATATAAGAGAAAAAATGCATTTTTTCTGATTTTGGCTTGTCTCCAATTTCTTCATTATTTTCAAATAGCAATGTCATCTTTTGCTCACAAATCTGGACACGTTTATTCCAAATGCATTGTTTGTAAATTATGTAATTAGAAATAACTTTTATATCACAGACGTGTATCACGTTTTCACTCCACAGCCATAAAACTCATTGATAGCTGCATGGGTATAAAAGTAGGTCAATTGCCTGTATAAAATTGCCATACGATTATTGATTTTTTAGTGTGGACCGTTTTAGGGGGGAGACACAGATGGGAGATGTTTCAAGATACCAGCAAAATATTTTCGTTGCATGCGGGTACTGAAAGTCAGAGTATATTGCAAACTTTGAAAGAAAAGAGTAAAACTAGCCCACATCTCCAGCTTCACCATGTAGAACTTTATAGATGCCACGGTCCCTCTTTATTTCATCTGACTCTCCCTAAAATTTTTTTGGACCGCATTAACTGTTCAGCTCCCGGGAACCGCGAAGCATCCAGCGTGGTGGCAGACGCTGAGCTCTGCAGACGGCACATTGCATTCACACAAATGGGGGTAAAGGTTTTTTAGGGAAATGCTGTATTTTATTACATCTGACGAATTACGTGANTGTGGACCGTTTTATAGGGGAGACACAAGTGGGAGATGTATCAAGATACCAGCAAAATATTTTGGTTGCATGCGGATTCTGAAAGTCAGAGTATATTGCAAACTTTGAAAGAAAAGAGTAAAACTAGCCCACATGTCCAGCTTCATCATGTAGAACTTTATAGATGTCACGGTCCCTCTATATTTCATCTGACTCTCCCTAAAAATTTTCAGACCGCATTAACTGTTCACATCCCGGGAACTGCCAAGCATCCAGCGAGGTAGCAGACGCTGAGCTCTGCAGACTGCACATTGCATTCACAAGAGGGGGTAAAGGTTTTCTACGGAAATGCTGTATTTTATTACATCTGACGAATTACGTGATAAAGGAAAGATGTTTTACATATTTGAATTTATTTTTACTAAGTGCAATGAGAGACACCGATTCACTGTATTTCTTCTCAAAATTGACAGGTTAAAAAAAGAGCAAAAGGAGATTACCTATCTCCCCTATGAATCCTTACATGGCATATCCTATCCGTGAACTTTTGATCTACTTTAGTTTTCACACTCCTACACACACTGAGTTTGTATGGTATCAATAGAAATGGGGCGTATTGGTGGGGGGGGGGGGGAATTCTAATGTGACTTTTCATGTTCAAGAAGATATGGTAGTTCTATTTTGATAATGCTACATGTATAACATATTTGGGTTAATGAACAGTATTACACACAGCTAGACCGAAGTCTGTTAATTGTTTTATACGTTTTTTTAATACAATAAAACATTTTATTTTTAAAGATAGATCTGAAGAGCGTTGGCAACGGGGAAGAGCAGTTTTGTATCCAAACCCACAGGTGTTGATTATGCTGGTCTGCACATTCCGCGCTTTATTGTAATTTTGATCTGATTCGTTTATTTTATGATGATTTACTTAGGACAAACAGTGAACCGATGTACAACTTCAATGATTGAATTTGGCTCTCCCCCTCTTCGACGATGAGCCTGTGCGTGTGTGTGTGTGTGTGTGTGCGCGCGCGTGTGTGTTTAGTGTATGTGTAGAGGAGAGTGTATGTCGTTTTCACGTAGTCCTGCCATACATTGACAGTACCGACATTATTTTAAAAATTAATTGTAGCTTAACTCGTAAGTCATGGGTGTGTATATTCTATTTTCATTTCCATTTGCTTGAAGCTGTATTTGTTGTTCAGGTTCCATTTTTAATTTAAAATTATTTTGCCTTTGTTCTTTTCATTAATTTTTCTTGTATTAGTCTGAAAAGTATTTTTTTTTATTTTTAGGTTATAATTACTTTAATTGTTATAGATAGAGTCATCCAGATTTGTTCATGATTCTTTTTTATTTATTTATTTATTTTAATGCGTTTATTCACTCAAATAAAAAAAAGAAAATATACATATATAATGAAATATTTAAACAGATAAAAATTAAATGCACATAGTAGGGCCTACTGGTGATAATTTCGGTAATTAAATACTGATAAATAAAAAAGAACATAAATATATAGAAATACTTTCACTCACTCATCCATACATACATACTACACGTATACATGCTTGTTGTGTGCTACATATCGGCAACTATAACGTACTAGAGGTGGACATTTTAACACGTTATGGTAATGGAATGCGTTTCCATTTTGTATTAAACCAATCTTCTTTACCTGTCTTTATAGCAATGTATTTTACTATTTTCTTCTTCTGACTGAGAAAATGCAGAAACAGTTCAAAATCATAGACTGATGGATTTTCTGAATTTTTGTTTATAAACTGTTTAGCCACAATAATAGAGAAATTTAAAGCTTTTGCGCAGTGGTCGCTAGACAAACAGCCGTACATTATAGTTTTTTCATTTTTTCTAAAGTGAATGGTATTATTCGGAGTGTTTATTATAACGTAATCTTCAACCTTTATCACGCACTTCTAACTTCGTGTCCCTTTTCCATGCATCATACGTCACGCATCCCTGTAGTTTGCTTGTTTATTCTTGTTTTGGTACCTGAAGAAGGTTCACAAGCAAAAGCTCAGGCATTTTTTCACCTTTCAGAGTTAATCTTTACAGATGCGTTTTCAATATATTTTTTCGTAAAAATACGGAAGATGCTGTCTAATGAAAATCTGCAATTTTTTTATCAGTCATAACAGTTAATTATCATAAAAGAGGTTTGTTATCTGATTCTGGTCCGAGGATCAACTGGTTGTGAATTCGGCCAGAGACAACCGGAGAGAGAGAGAGAGAGAGAGAGAGAGAGAGAGAGTACACTCTACCTGAGTCACAGATAGAGTTTTCACTAGATATTCATAGATAGGCCTATGTATAAAATGTAAGGATGTGTTTAATAATTTTTGAAGAAAGATTCCTGTTTATGATTTGAGCGCAAAGGACGATTGCGTTTGTTACGTTCAGTAAAAGCAGTATTGACGACAGCTACCATCTGAGTCCTCAGGGGGGTTGAACTCCCAACACGGTCGGAGGTACGTTGTGTAGATGTAGATAACAACATATGGTCTCTCTCGCTCTTTCTTTGGTTAGTCTTTCGATTCACACGAAAATCGTTGCATAAGTTAGCTAAGCACATGTGCTAATCATATTTAAAACACAAAATGCAGACTCATTTTTAGACCTTCGTTACTGTCGCTTGCAACACCATCTCACATTTGCCTATAAGTTTATTTTCAATAAAGTAGATAAATAAGGTACTTGTTTGGAAGCAAGTCTAACGTCTCAGAAAATGTCTAGAATGTTTATCTTAAATAATACAATGAATGACTTGCAGCTACTTTTAAAAGCCGAAAAATCCTTCGTGGCGTATTTTTGCTCCAGATCATTAATTTTAGTTGCTTTAATGTTTTGAAATATTTTAGTCATTAATAAAATCTTCATTTTAGTTAAGACAAGGACTGAAGGCCCCGTTGGGCGTTTTCCTTTCCCGTAACAGCCACTTATCATTCTCCGAGATGTGAAGCACCCCATTCCTGTGAATCGTGAATTGCGGGTTTCTATCCCTATAGTGGAACGAAGTTATTATACTCGGTGATATTTATTTTCAGCTCGCCAGACTAGCATTTTCAATGAGATATGAATAAAGTTTATAATTAATTTATGTGATTTGTGATTTGATGATTTTATTTTCCTTTGGCCGTGAACTGTGATCACTACCCCCCCCTCCTTCCCAGCGTGTCCTCTTGATTAGCTAGACCTTATAGGGCCTACATATGTCCAAGGCTAGACGATATGTTAATAGAACCAAGGAGTTATAACTCCTTGATAGAACACAGTCAGATGTTTTACACGAAACACGACATTCTCTTAGAAAGCCATTTGCAAAACCTTCGTTACCAGGCATTGAGAAAATATACTTGGGATTGAGGAAAAAATTGAGACCTTTTGAAAAAAAATTAACGGGCATCTAATATAGGCTTCCCTAAGCCTACTAGCACAGTCTCTGGCGCTGTCTATAAAAGTAAAGTACAGGTGCTAGTAACTTTGCAGGATATTTAAGCAAAAATTGACTTTATAATATTTTCAAGTATGTTTATTATACTTTTAATGCTAATTAAATGTGAAGGTCCTTAAATGCTCCATTTGCTCATATTGAGCGTTGTGTTGCTGACATCTAGCAAAAGTTGAAGTAAAAAGAAAATATATAAAAATAACAATAAAAAAGAACTTAAAATTACCTTTTTGTAAAAATATATTCTCAATCAATAATATCACATCTAAACGAAAAATCAAAAGATATAATAACTTGGACGCAGAGTAAAACTGCGGCGCGCTTCATGTGACCTGATGTGACCCAGTATTCACTGCGGGTTTTCTTTGACCTACTTAGTCGGGCTTAGTTCGGCGGAGCGGGAACATTTTACACGTTATGAAATAACGCTATACCAAGGACAAGATATATTTATGAGTTACCATCAAAGTCCCAAGTGAAGCAGTAGGACATTCCACGATTCCAGCATCCTTTTAAATGCATGCAAAGACATTCTTGATGACAAAAGGGTGAGTACTTTGTTGCAGTGATCTGGTACCGGAAGTCTTGGGATTGAAAGCGACAGTTGGGCGGGGCTTTTGAGAGAGAGGAGAGAGAAGGAGCTGCAGATACAAGAGCTAGAGGATGGATAAAGGGAGTGTTTTAAGTGTTATTCAGTAGATCTGAATTCCTGGAAATATCTGAGGTAAAACATAAAAAGTTCTAGCAGAGTTAGGGAGCAAAAGGGTTTCTATATGTTGTTTTAAAAAGTTATTTGTGGGGATTTTTGCAGTGTTCACTTCGTCCCATCAGGTATCTTTATAACTCTCTTTATAACTCTCTAACTCTCCAACTGGAATGAAGTAATAGCTTTGCATGTTAGGAATTCATACATATCCCAGTATGTAGCCAAATATAACATCACATTATTACAATGTTACATCTGGACTGCACCATTCCTGCATAGTGTTGTGACACATTTTGAGGCATGTCGGCCACTTAAGATGCAAAGTCACAACAAATGTCCCTCTAAATTTAGCTGAAATTGCCAATATAAAATGATGACAATTTTAAGTTTGATTTTTTTTTTACATGAAGTCATGGCAAAACATAAGATGCATATATGTATATTAGCAATTTTTAAAAAGTACTGTACTACAAATTTCTGTGAATATGTGGAAGCTGCCAAGTTTGACTTTGCCCAGGACCACTGCCAGTTTAGACATGCAAACGAACAGCCCTTTTTGTCTGGAAATAGTTCCCTCTGGGTAAATTTTCATTTAGGTACACAATGGTTTCATGGTAAAAGGTCCACTTTTTTTAGGAAAAAAAAACTTTTGAAATAGCTGGCTACAGGCCTGTTGAATGTTTATAATGAGTGTTTCTCTTTTTTTGTTCTTTTAGTGCAGGCACACAGTTTGACAGAGTGGTCAAATCTGAAAATGCAGTGATTCTCAATGAGATGGCAGAGAAAACCCTCACTGACCCAACACTTATCAAACTTGGAGGGAGAATCTCAACAGGAGATTGGAATCAGCAATCTATACAGAAAAGATGAGGACATTGAACCATACTGGGACATGAGAGAAGAATTTAGTATTATTGAAGCACACAAACCATTAGTACCCATGTTTAACAAAGCACAAGCAAAATTACCACCGAGAACAGAGAAATTGGTGATGGACTTACAAGATGTTGACTATGAAGTGGTATATGAGCCAGGAAAGAATGATGCAGACCCAGATTATCTCTCCAGATACCCACTGCCACAAATGGGTGGTCATAGTACAGAGAAGATGATCAGATGGATGGTCAAATCTGAAAATGCAGTGATTCTCGGTGAGATAGCAGAGAAAACCCTCACTGACCCAACACTAATCAAACTTGGAGGGAGAATACACTCATTATACGTGACTATGTTTTAGTTAAACAGAACAAAAGAAACAAACTCTCAACACCATATGAACTGATTTTCTATGTCGTCATGGCAATACATGGTTCTCAAGTTACTGCCAGAAGAGTTACAGACAGAAGAACAATCTGCAGAGACACAAGTCAATTCAAACTGTGTAACAATGTCATAAACACAACAGATGATGTAATGAAAATTCCAGCAGACTTGTATTTGAAAGAAAACACAAATGAGATGAGAAGACAAGATGATGCATATGAATTGCAACTTAGTGATATATTACAGTGAAAAGTGACATTGCAGCAACAGACACACACAATATTCCAAACTTAGATGATATTGCATTAAATACAGAGAATTCAGTTGATGAGAAGATGACACAGCAAGAGAAAAACAGTGATCATATTGAAGAACCAATTTACACCAGACCAAAGAGAACAATTAGACAACCAGGTTACTTAAAAAATTATGTATTGAAGAGACAGTTCAATCAGTTATATGTAATCAGGATGAAGGGGGATCGTTGTCCTGAAAAAGAGTAACCTGAGATAATTGATATTTAATCAGGATGAAGGGGAAAGCTGTCCTGAAAAAAAGTAATCTGAGATAATTGATATTTAATCAGGATGAAGGCAGATCGCTGTCCTGAAAAAAGTCACAATCTGAGATGATTTATATTTAATCAGGATGAAGGCTGATCGCTGTCCTAAAAAAAATCTGCGATAATTTATATTTAATCAGGATGAAGGCAGATCGCCATCCTGAAAAAAGTAATCTGAGATGATTTATATTTAATCAGGATGAAGGCGGA